AAATCGGGGCCACACGACTGACACCAGCAGGACCTGGGCAGCTGCACACCTAGGGATCTGGGGCACACTCCTCTGGAGAACTCCAAGGACTCTCAGCTATTCAGGGCAAACTGCAAACTTGATCAAAGTAGAAAAGCAGGTTATACCAGAAAAAGGGTTCAGTGTACAGTTAATGGGAAATGTAACTTGATTCCTCAAATTCTGTGCACTCTTCTTGTACCTGTGGCTTCTACTCTATGAGTGGAGGACACATGGTTAATATTTAATTTTTCTTTTTCATAGCTAAGAGTGTTAAAATGGTGCAAGTCCAGGGTATCACAGTATTTAAAACCACTGGTACTCACCACTGCCACCTGGAGAAGCAGCAGATATCCCTGGCACACATGCAGCACGATGAGCTGCAGATTAATCACTACAACCCAGGCCAGAACCCAGAGAAACTCACGTGAACCAGCAGAGAGAATCTACCAAGTATGAACCACCCAAAGTGAAAACTTGCTAACACACCCAAGTAAGAACTAACACACCTTACAGAGATTCTATCACAAAATGAAAATGAGAAGTCAGACAACTCATTTCTTTCCTCTTTTAAAATTCAAATTAACCAAGGAAAAAATGTCTGCAGAGTTGTTTGTCTTTCTGCTGAGATACTAGCAGGACAATCTTGGTCAAGTTTAGCACACAGGCTAACAAGACAGTCCAAAGGCAGCTCAGCCAAAGTCTGTTCTCACCGGCCAAGCTCTTCAAGGTTTTGCTGCTCCTTTAGCAGGTATGCCAGCTGGACAGCCAACTGCTCTTTCTCCTCATGGATCTTCTCTCTTGCTGCCCTCTCAGCGTGGAAATCAGAACAATAAACCTCCATCTGATCAGAGAAATTAAATCATGCTGAGAATTTGTAACTTAGACTGAACCACGGTCATGTATTATAGGCCAAAATAACACATTATATCATAGCCTGCATCTACTCAAAACACTCCTACAGCACCTACACGCTGCAAAGTGAAGACCTGCACTACTTACAAGGTGCAGAAGTCTCATCAATTTCTGGATTCTGTGTAAGATACTTCAAGTGTCTTACGCAGGACAGTGCTATTGCCCTCTGCTGTACAGAGGCAGAAGTGAGGGACGGGCAAGCAGTGAGGTGACCTGACCGATGACACAGACAGCTAAATTTGTGGTCTGCACAGTGGAACCAGGCCAAGATGCCAGTTCTGTGCCTTGAATGTGAGGCAGGCCCTTTCCAGTCACTGTTTACACACATTGGTTTGAGTAAAATCACCCCTAAACCACATGCAGTGATTCTTAAGACAGTGGTTTTAAATACACAAACCCATCTATTCCCAGGTTTTGTTGTGCCAGACTCCAGCATACAGTTCCTCCTACAGAACCGTAGGAGATGGTGGTAAAGGCTCTGCAGGGATCTGCAAGGCAGGCCAGGGAAGGGAATCATGCTTTGGAACTGAGGAAAGATATTCCAGAGTGAACCATTAAAGATCTCCCTCTGGTTTCTGAATGCTGGGTGGGGGAACTAGCCAATTTCTGAAGAGCTGATACCTGAGCACGGAGCACAGCCATGGTTTCAAGGTCCTCCTCTTGCTTAGCAATTAGCTGCTTCATTTCATCAATCTGGAGCTGCTTTGCAGCAAGGGCTTTTTCTGCCAGCTCCACCTTTGCACTCAGTTGTTCCACCACAACTTTATCCACTCTGCCCAGCTGCAAGGAAGAACTCCCATTATGAGATGAACTCAGAATATGACCCTGTTTCAAGTGACTTTGCTTGTTACTCCTCCTGCCCTTGGAAAAGCTCCCAGTTTTGGTCATCACAGGAACTGGAACTAAGACAGGAGTGGTGATGGGTATTTTATTTTAAAGATTAGTGTTGAGCTTTCATACTACATTGTATTAAGTTAAAAGAGAACACCTTAATGGGCACTGCAATGGATGTTTTCCCACTTTCCAAAATAATCCTGAATCACAGAATTGTCTTGGTTGGAAAAGACCTTTAAGATCATCAAGCCCACTAACCCAGCACTCCCAGGTCACTAAGCACCCCATCTACATGTTTTTCAAGTACCTCCAGGGACGGGCACCCCATCAGTCAGTGCCCTGAGCAGCCTATTCCAGGCCTTGACAATGCCTTCAGTGAAGAAGTTTTTCCTAACATCCAGTCTGAACCCCCTCCTCTGGCACAACTTGAAGCCATTTCTTCTTGTCCTATCACTTGTTACTTGGGAGAAGAGACCAGCCCCCACCTCTCTACAACCTCCTTTCAGGGAGTTGTCGAGAACAAGGTGGTCTCCCCTGAGCCTCCTTTTCTCCAGGCTAAACAAGCCCAGTTCCATCAGCTGTTCCTTGTTACACTTGTTCTCCAGAGGAATCTGTCACTTCCATGGAGCCTCAGTTCTGAAGAAGACCCCCCTGTGGCAGGCGTTCTGTTTAGGATTACAAACACATTCAGAGCTCTGCCTTGCCACATTTACAAATCATGCTGCAGGAACACCCGCGTGCCTCTGCGTATCACTGCTCTCCAAGGACTGGACATACTGCAATGCAGATCAGACCTCATCTACAAAATACCACAGAAGTGCTGATCTGTAGATAAAGTTTTCTATAATTGACAGCACAAGATCTATGCTTATCAGAGCAACGCTGCTGTATTTCATGCAATATTGCATGGAAGAGATGACAATTGTTCCCTGACCAAATTTGTTCCTAGATACATCCTCCCCTCCCTTCCCACTCCCCTGTAATTAATGATGATTTCTTCTTGTGATGAGTTTACCTCTTTGAGTTTCATTTCATCGATTCTTTTTATTGCCTCAGTGAGTTCAGGAAGGAGTTTGCTGTATGCATCCTGTAAGCTACTGTATCTTGCCCTGTTTATGACAAGAAAAAAGGTGAAAGTTTGAAATACTTAAAAATTCTTTGAAATCTAAATGATCTGTCAGAGTTTAGGAAAAAAGGCACCATCATCTCCTTGCAAATGAATCTGCATTTCTGATAAGAAAAAAATAATGCTCCATGTCTCAACATCTCTCTTCCAGTGAGTTGTGTGCTGCCCAGTCCATGGACTGAGTCTAAACAAATGTCCTTCCTGATAAGGACATCAGTAAGGACATCATAAGGAGCCTGCATTTCATATTGAAGAATCCATCACCCAATATTTTTATATCAAATTCACAAATCCTGTTCAAAATGTAACACTTCTCCTAGGAAGACATCCAAGTTTTGACTCATAGACTTGAAGAGAAGGAGAATTCATCAGGAGAAGAACCAGACAGACTCCAGGAATAACCAGCAGCTTCTCCAGCAGCTGAAGACAGGTCCTTCAGGAAGTTCAGCCTCCCTGTGCAGCTTGGACTGGCATCTTCACAGTCCTTGGACTGACGGCACACGAAAGGCAGTGGAGAGCCAGACCAAACAGCAAGTCTCTTTGCCTCAGCTTCACTTACCTCTCCTAGTTGCAAACACACTGTAGGGACCACAGACCTCTTCATTCATGTCCCCTTCCCATCCATGCCACCACCTGATTTGTCCCTGCCCTCCAAGATGTGGACCCATTTACCCCTGCTCATCAGTGGGACAGCTGTTGTCACTTTTCTGCTTCCTCTACTGACCTTAGACCACCTTTGACTTTATTACAAAAGGAAGATACAAGTCAGAGCTTACAGCCCAAATTTTCCTAAGTGAGGGGTTCAGTAGATGAAAGAATACAGTTTGGGCCTAATGTGCAGCCTCCAGATTCAAAGTGACATAGAGGCTGAGGTGAATTTCTAGTTCAGACTCCACAAACATAACATGGTTCCAAGGGGTGCAGAACACAAAACTAGTATTTCAGATTCAATTCCCCCTTGGCCAGGTTCCCATGGACTTCCTTCATCACTGACAATACCTCCCTGGAATATAAAACCAAGTCATACTCACTTTTCTTCATGTGTCTTGGCTTGTTCCAGCTTGACCTCTGCCTGCATGCTCTCCACCTGAAGTTCCAGCTTCTTGATGGTGTATATCAGCTGCTGCTTCTCCTCCAGTTCTGATGCAGCAGCCGAGCTTTTCCTTTCCAGTGCTTGGCACCTGACAGAACAAAGGAAAAAAGGTTGATCTCTCCATCTCTCCTGCTCACCTTTTCCTGATGGATTTGGCACATTAGACATATTACGAAAAGAATCTTTGTGTGGTTCACTTTAAAGGCTTATTTTGATGAAGAATGAGGAAAGAAAAATGAATCTATATGCAACCACTGGAAAACAAAGCTACTGCAACTAACACTTTCTTACTATTATGAATGTCAAAGAACTGGAATTTGTCAGAAGATCAAGCAACTAAATTGAGGTCTTATAACTACTTCTTACAACCTATACCACTGGTCTTCAGAAGCACAGACAGTTCACACGGAAAGGGTCATAACCAGGTCCTCAGCTTCTTCCCCCAAGACTAGAACAGGGATTATGTGAAGTATGGAAGATTTGTTTTTACATCAGGAAGGGTTAAAACCCAAATCTTAAAATTCAAGGCACTGGGCTTCTATTTGTAGAGTTGAGTTGGCAGCTCAAATTTTCTGACAATTACTGCATTTCTGTACTTTCATCTCCACTTACAAAGAAGGAGCAACCTTACAGCATTGCTATAAAGTAGATATTTAAGTGGGTAACTGTAGAGCTGGTGAGTTGCCCAAGGTGGGAGTTGCAATACAAATGTATACTGGGTGTCACAGCAGAACTTTTGTTCTTCTGAACCTTACTTTTCTTGAAGCTTCTTCTGAATCAATTCTGCTTCTTTTAACTTCTCATGGGCTTCCTGAAGCTCTTTAAACAGAGCACAAACTTGCAAATTGAGGGTCTCTACTTCACTGCCAACCTTTTAGAGAAAAAATACAGAAGTTACATACGGAGAATTAAAAATAATGAAGTTTCAGGCTAAGAGGTGTAAGCAGGAAGTACCGTTCTAGAGAAAACAGCACGTGTCAGGGTGCATCATTACACTCTATACTTGGTAACAGGGCCCCATCCACAAGGCTTCGCAATTACAATCACTCCTAAATTTGGCAGAACCTCATTTTGACTTAACACTTTCATAAAATCCAGGTGATTCAAAGACTTCTGACCTTCTAATGTTGCCCAGAACACACCTCACGCAGATGGGAAACATCTACATTTTCCTTCTTAAGAGTTCACAATGAAAACACAGGGGAAAAGCAGACAGGCTTGGTGACTGCTGCCAGTGCTCTGAGCACTGTCACAGAAACAGAAACAATGGTCTAGCCCGAGGCAGCCTGCCCATCAGCCAGCATGGTGTGCTCTTTAGGAAGAGCAGAGAACACAAACGTTTTTAAGCCTTGTAATTTATTTTGATTACACATGAAATCTCTCCAGCTAATTGACACTCTCCCTACACATGCCAGCCTCTCCCACGCCACATGTGTGAGAACCACAGGTCTGGAAGACTTCAGTTCTTGACTTTTTGAAGGAGAAAATACAACCCCAGAGGGTAACTCCATTACCATACATTCATTAACCAGCTCTGCAAACCAAGATGATTTCTAGTAAAACTGTAATGAGTTTTGTTGCAAGTTTCTGGCCCCTTCATTTGGCCTTCAGACCACAGGAAGGTCACTGAAGGATCCTAAAGACAAGAGGAGGAAAGAAACAGCAGCTGGGTTCTCCTCCAACCCCAGACACAAAGGACACCTCAGAGTTTCAGTTCTTAAAATACCTCCCCACACTCTGGAATATGTACAAACTTTGACCCTTGCTGAGTTGCATTCTCTGGAGCTTTCCTGAAGAAACCTCTTAATCTCATCATCATGTTAGCATCAGTTTAATTGTCCCTAGTACTGTAATTTTAATTGATGTCTTATCTCATTAAATGCAATTAATGTGTACAGTCCAGCTTGGCAATGAGCTGGGTGGCTGTGGCTAAATTGATACCAAGTGTATCAAAGCATACTGCTGTCTTATTTCCTTGAAGAAAATCTCCAGTTTTCTAACAGGGAAATTCCTCCACTTCCCCAGGCAACTGAAGCAACAGATGTTCATCCATCACAACGCGTGGACACTTCCAGCCTTCATCTCAAAGCAGAAGTGTGGAACACAGCCCATGTGACTGAGTGGCAGACGGAACACAACTGCCTGCTGACAGATGTGCTGAGGACACTCTCCACAAGCTGCCCAAACTAGTATCATTCACCACCTGTACCATGCAACAGGGACTGAACATCACAGTGTGAACACTCACATAGCACTTTTCCTACCTCAGAAACAAAAAGAGATCATTCTCTTACCAAGAAGCCACAATATTATTTTATGCAGCAATCCAACTAATCCAATCACACTCCCAGATGAAAACACTGATTTTTGTAAGGTGAGGGCACTTCCATTTGCAGAAAACTAGACATCAGTAGAAATGGCCTTAGTAGAAAATGTGTCAACAAATAGAACCATCTATCACTGGCCAGACTAGAGTCTGACTTCTAATAAAGCTGGACTGTGAATTTGTGGTCCCTGGTGAACAGGACTACCCAAGACAGTTATGCCCCACCATTGTAACACATCCCACCAAAAACATGAAAAAACCCAATCAGGTGCCAATAGGAACTCCACATTTAAAGTCTGTTTTACAGTACCCTGTCATTGGATTCTGATCCAAAAGCTGACCTAGCCAGCCATGAGGAAGTCACCCAGTCTAGAAGACCTTCTGGAACTAGAAATGACTGCACCTCTCTCTGCTCAGAGGGCATGGCCAGGGCAAGCAGGATACCTGCAGCTATGCCATGCTTCCCTAATTCTTGGCCACCCATCTCACCTCTTTTTGGAGCTGGTGTAATTTGGAACCACATCCAAGATATGGGTTGGAGAGTTCAAAATCCACTTCAGTACCTTGTGTAGGATAATGGCCCCTTGCTCTCTGAGTGCCAGTGGAAATCCAGGCCCTGCAGTTGTTGGCTTTGACAGGTAAGCTGCATGTTGTTAAATCTCAGCTCAGGAGGTCAGGTACTTACAGCCTCTGAACTCTCCTCTTCTTCCCTTTCAGTTTGTGTCCCACTCTCCAGGAAGCTGCTGGTTTCCTTCTCCAGCTTTGACAGTCTGGAAAACAAAGGGAGCCAATAATGATGGATTTGGCCTACATTTAAAGTGAGATCATGACTATTCATGGATCTCATGCAAGTGATGCACTCTTTTTCAAGCATCACAGCCATGAAGAGCTGAAAGCCCAGACATGCAGGAAATCCTGCACAGTCATGGGGTTCCTGAGGAACACAAAACACCCAGTATGCATATTTAATTACAAATGGATGTATGTGTCTGCAGGTGTGGAGAAGGACAGTGACATACAGTCCACAGTGATCAATCTTTGGTACAATCCAAAGCTAACCCCTTGGAAATGGGTCAGTCTGTTCACTGAATCCAGTAATTAATACTGCCTCTATTTGTCTTTGCTATTTTCAGAGGCTGAGATTTCTAAGAATCATTTGTCTATGGCTCATTAGCTCTTCTAGGAAGACTGTGTAGAAGTAATTACTGGGACAACAGCCTTTCATAGCAGATAATGTCCAGGACGCCTTACCCTGTCCCTTCAAAGTGGGGATCTGGAACAGCTACTCTTAGGCAGTTTTCCACACCTGAACAGTCAGAACCAATTTATACCAACACAACTGAGCTGAGATGGACCCTCATGCAGGTCTCGCTGGAAAAATTCGCTCTTAGACAAGTTTGGAATTAAACTTATTTTAGACATTTCTAAGGAGCTTTTCCAAGCTCACACACTGCTAAATGTAGCCTGCTGATATCACAGTGAGGACTGTGATTTGCTTAAGGTCCCACATGCCTTGATGATCCATACAAAGGCAAGGAACTATGAAGGAGTGAGTGGAGAGAGCATCCTCAACTAGTCATCCTATCACTCTGCCATAACCTGGAGAAAGTTTGAACCCAGGAGGAAATGGGTAATTTGTCTTGGTCATAAAACACAGAAACTCTTGCCCACAGAAGGGAACCTCTGGTTTAACCCTATAAGGACTACCACAGAAATCAGTTATTGCTACTGAGTGCTTGGGACATTCCCCATCCAGGTCACACTGGTATTCTGGCTTGTCTCTGATCTGTCATAGACTTGGAAATGGCAGTAGCCCTGAGAGAGAACAGCTCCAAAAGTTACAGTGCACCTGCTTCATACCTCTCTTTGTGATCCTGCAGCTCCTTCTCCAGTTTTTCCCTCTTCTGAGTTTCATTTCTAAGGCAGCAGAGCAGCTGGCTCACAGTTAGCTCCTCAGACTCCAAATTCTTCGATTCATCTGCAGGTTTGCTCCTGCTTCAGACCAAACCAGGTGTAAATAACAACAGCTATGATTCTACTAGAGCACTCCCTTATTCCCTCGTTCTGGGACCAAGTCTGAGAGGCCATCATTCCATGCAGTGCTGGAAAGCAATGTTCTGAGTAAAGGGCTCATTCCCAAGAACCAAGACCTGCCTCACAAGCCACCAGATACAGTCCTCCTGCATGCAAATGCAGTCCTTGCTTTGTGCAGTGCTCAGACAGCCACCTTCCAGCTGAGGAAACTATTTAGTACTTAAATAAGGAAAACAAAAGTACTCAAGACAATATAAAACTCAGTGCACTTATTCTGGCATACTTGCAGACCCTTCTGCGAAGTCCTGCTGTCTGCTCCTAAAAGGACATTTTTTTTCCAAGTAAAATGTGCAACATTCCTTATCTCTCATTCCTTTCCAGAAAAGAAGGCATGCCCCACTAAAACAGTCATCAGAAATTGCTTTTATTTTTCAGAAAAAAAAAATATCTTCAGTGTTTCACCTATAGCCCTTTTCAAACTGCTGTCTGCTCCTAAAAGGACATTTTTTTTCCAAGTAAAATGTGCAACATTCCTTACCTCTCATTCCTTTCCAGAAAAGAAGGTATGCCCCACTAAAACAGTCATTAGAAATTGCTTTTATTTTTCAGAAAAAAAAATATCTTCAGTGGTTCACCTCCCTATAGCTCTTTTCAAAATCACATTATGTGGAAGTGAACCAAAACAAATACAAAACTAACTGAAAAATACGGTTAGTTTCCTGATGATAAAACTCTGTACTCCATTCCCTCTACTTTTATGTTCATCTAGACAGAAAGTCAAAATCCCTTAACTATATGGTAAGACAGGCAGGTTATAGACACTGCATTTCAGAAACTCAGCTGTAAAACAGCATGGGTTTAAAACTTGGCTTTTGTGATTCAGAACTGGAAGTATAGCATAGTCCTCTCTGTGCTTCTCAGAGCTAGAAATCTTCAGTGAGCAAAATTCAATACCCCAAAGACAGTGTTCAGCCAGGATATTTTAAGTAAATAACTTTTATCAGGGGATTTTTAGTGCACTGTTCTACTCTTACAGAAATAAACCTGTCCTGAGTGGATCATATTTCTCTGAACTTGTTAACAGCACTAGTCTAAAGTTTCAATGCTGGACAAAGACACGTGGTGACTGACACAGGAAATATTTTAGGAGGTACATATCCCCCTGTTCTTGTAGATATGGCCTCATCAAAAACGGCTTCTCATAACCAGTGTTCTCACAAGCCACTGCTAATGACAGACTTCATACTTGCAGCCAGGTCTGTGGTCAGCAACTCTCTGTTGCATCTGTTACCATAACTTTTTTAACTCGTTCAACTTCTTATCAGCATGCTGAGGGACATGTTTTCTATGTCATTACATTAAAATGTTGTTCTCCCTTTTAGTGATGTAGGGAGTGAGAAGCTGTACATGGAGCACAGCTTTCTGGCCTGCTATGCCCCTCATATTTTCTATATCCTTTCATTCCAAAACCAAGGGCCACAAAGTAAGAGTTCAGCCACAACCATCTAGCTGCTAAACTGGGCAGTATCCAAAATGGAAAGTTTAATAGTATCAGCTGTCTACGTCCATGAGGAGTAAAGGTTCAGCTGGGGGCAAGAAAGTCCCTTGTGCCCTAGAGCTGTTGTGAAGATCAAATTTTGAGAAGTAACCCAAACAGAATGCTGGTATCTTAAGCCTAGTAACCTGAAAAATAAGGACTATGTTACTGCACTCTCTGCCTGCCCCACCATGATACACTTTATACCAACCACACACAGACAGAACAGACAGGTTCAGATCTGAAACACTACAAGATTCTTACCAAACATCATTACAATTGTGTAGAGGACAGATACTCTATTACATGGTCTCCAATGACTAGAAGGAAGGGAGTCCCTGCAGCCTCTATCTTTTATCTTTTTTTGCTTTGCCTCCCTTAAATGCCTCAAAAGCTGGCAAATCAGCAGGTATATAAAAGCCTGGCCAACTGGCCAGAATATGCACTTCCTCTTGTCAGCTAGTGAAAACTGGGAGGAAAATGTCAGAGAGGGTGTTTACAATACAGTAGGAAGGTAAACCTACTGCTATGTAGGGACACAAGGCCAGAGAAAACCAGGATCTTCTAGTGCATTCTTCATAGAAAAATGTTCCCCCGTGTTGAAAACAAAACACATGGCAGAAGTCTGGATCACACACATCACACAAGAACCTACGTACGTGTAGACAGCAATGTTACTGGTGATTTCAGCACTATTCTCTTGATGTTCCTTTGCAGTTCTATTTATTTCTCCTTCCTAGGAAAGAAAAAACACTATCAGCTTGGTATTTGGACTAAGCAAGAGCAGTTCTATTTACCTGAGTTAAGGAAGGAAGCAGGAAAACTACTACCAGGGCAATAAAAACAAATTAAGTTCTATTTACCTGAGTTAAGGAAGGAAAGAAAGCAGGAAAACTACTATCAGGGCAATAAAAACAAATTATAAAACTCCTACAGATTAATCTGATGTTTGGAAATTCTGAACTGAAATACTTCACATGCTTTTTCCTGTATCTCTTCTGGATTGATGAGAGAAGAGGAACAGCAATGAAATTTGGCCTTCTCCTTTCATCAGCAAAGATGACTGGGCACCATACAGCCACAGCAACAGCAACATCACTGCAGAGGAGTATAAACCTAAACCCCACGCTCCAGCCTCCCAAGAGAATCACTCTTTTCCACTACAAAACTCACTCCTTGATCTTTGCAGCTCAAAGGAGAATCTTTTTAAGCTTCCTGCAGTCTGAAGTTTTCATTAACTCCAAACAAATTTTAGAAGTTCTCTTAACTTCTTGTTGCACTTGTACTTTCCAGAGTGGGATCTGCCTTTATGGGGAGAGCAGAGACATTTTCCCTGTGAAGATTTTTCAGATACAAGAACAGCAGAAAAAGTAGACTTTTTTTTTGTGCCTTTAGGGAACACTCTACAGCTTTGCACTTAAGTTTTGTCTGCCTGCATCTCCACATATCTGTCAGTAGGAAGTGAGCCCCATTCTCAAAATAAAAATGCCCCTCTCTATGCATAGGTGTTGCCCCTTAACAAAACATAGTACCAATAGTCCCAGGGATTCCAACTAAGGTAAGACATTTTGAATTAGTCTGAAGTCATCTGATGGACCATGTTGGTTTTTCCAGAAAATACCTTTAGTGGAATGGAGGCTACCTATGAGATTAATTTACTTTAAGCATGAATGTGGAAGGACAGAAATAAATTCCAAGTCCTTTATCTTGTAACACACAAGGGCTCCATGTCAGGCAATCTAAGAGACCATACAACTTTTCTCCCAAATCCACTGTGCCTGTATCTTGTGTTACTGATGTTGCTGGCAGTTTGCTGTTCCCTCTCAAAGAGGCATGAAGACTTTTCATTGATGTGGGTACAGATTCACCCTTTCTACTACCTCACTGCAGAATGTCATCACATAAATATTGTCACCATAACTGCACTCAGACCTGACTTCCTCACCATTTAGCCTGGTACAAAAAGCAAATTCAGTTTGCAAGAAATGTAGGATCCAGCTGGAACCAAATTTTCTAGCTGTAGGTCACTGTGTTCTTTCTATTCCCCTCACTTACGTTCATCCCAATCTCCACAAAGGAATCCTCTGCTGAGATGTTCAGCTTGACCTGGAGTTCTGAAATGATGGCCAGGAGATCTGCCTTCTCAGCCTGGAGCCGCTGCACCTGGGACTTCAGCTGCCTCACCTCCTTCTCGGGAGCCACGCAGCCCTCCTGGGATAAACAAACCCTGCATTAGCCAACCAAAAGGAAACACCAGCCAAGGAGCACAGAACCTGAACATAACAGCAGTGCCCCGTGTCCCGTGCTCTCTGTTCAGGCTTGCCTGGAAACTGTGCTTGGGTCCATTAGACAGCAAGAAGTCTAACCTGTGAAACCAAGTTAATCAAACAACGAGCACCAAGCTTCTGAAAAAACGGGCCTGGTTCTCTGAGTGTGCAGGCCATGAGGATGTAAAGTCTTTGCCTGAACCTCTGCCTCCCACTACCACACAGGGTCCCAGCCAACCTACAGAACTATTGTCCAGAATGATTTTACTTTTTCACTCACATCCTTACTCCTCTTTTCCCAAATTCCTAAGATTCTAGGGAGAAAAGACCAGTGTGCAGAGAGCTTTTCCACACACCTCCCTTTCAACCTTCCCCCACCACACAATTTCTCTGTGTCCCATCTCAACATATAAATCTCTCCCTGTACCCCTGACCTTCATACAAAGTCCTACATCCATTCCCTTCCACAAAGTCTCTGTCCCTCAGGGATTCTCCCCAAACTTAATCTCTCCTTCCAGTCAAGACCGCCTCCTTCACCTTCTGCCTCTTCCCTCTGCCCAGGATCCTCAAAACCCTCTCTTAGGCCTCCACATAACCAGGAAGCCTCATTTTTATCTCTTCTTTAAATGCCTCTGCCCATTATGAAACCTTCCCCGTGATTTTGTAATCTGAGCCTTCCACCTGGCAATTCCTTTATTACACCACATACCATCAGTGTAAATTCTGGACAGTTTCTGGAGTCTGAATTACATTCTAATCTATCATTCATGCCAATACCCAAACCCTTGCTATGCTGACAGTGTCCCCCATCCCACAGCACCACTCTACCCACCTGACATGCTGCTGTCTCTGATTTTGTGCTTATGCTGTAAGAGGAAGCAATTAGAGTCAGCTCCAGTGAAGAACAGAGAAGTTTAGAACAACCTGTGCTGCCACAAGTATGGTTTTGAGAGGAACTCTCCTGTCAGTGCTGGTTTATCACTAAGGGAGTCAACAAAACTGTCATTTACTTTGAGTGAAATGGAGACATCACTTTACAGCAGCAATGGATCAACGACTATCTCAGTTAACAGTAAAACACAGAGGTGAAAGAAATTGTACTAATATTAAAGTTTTCTTTCTGTTAGAGGGATTTTTTTAATGCTCTTTCTAAACAATGTGGGAAAAAAAGAAAAAAAATTTTGCTTAGTAATTTTAGCTTAAATGACACTGTCAGCCTGAAAAATCAGAATCAGAACTGAAAATGCTGCAGTTTAAGTTACATTTACCACCAGCTGATAAAACTGCAAAGAATCACGGAACAACCAGGGCTTACTCTGTAAAGATCTGGGAATTAGATAATTAAAAGATAGTTATTTTTTACTTTTCTGGATGTTGGATTACTCAAGCAGGTCAGATCTTTCCATCAGTTATGTACTTTAAGTACAAAAAGTTCTAAAACAGGTAGAAGCAGAATAAATCCTCTACTTCCCCTTAAAAACTATTCCAGATTTACGAAATTCTGAGTTTCCTTGACGATCCTGAAACATAACTTCCAGCCAGTGAAGTAAAGATTGTGTAAGCCATACTTACACAACCACACTATTTACACATGTCTTTCTTCCCCCTTGGAACTTATTAACTCATTGGCTGATTTTGATTTACATGCTCAAAATTTCTTAGAGTCCCATAAAACAGGCAGTCAGGAGAGGAGAGGAGAGTCCACTACTATCTCCATCAAGAAAAAAGCTAATACAATATTCCTTCATCAGGCAACAGAGAATCCACACGAGTCCTGGAGGTACCAGACACCACGATGCACCAGTTTAGCTCTGCATACAAGTTATTTAAGCAGCCCTTCACATGACCACGTGGGACACAAAGCAGGTTTTGTTTTAATAGGCTTTGTCAGTAGATGGTTTCAGTACCACCTGCAAAATGTTGCCTGGCTACTAAGCAATCACCTGCCACATTAGAAGTGGTGCGTTACAGAGGCAAAGGTAAGAAAGAGGGAGGAAGCTCCATCAGGCTTAAATGGGGCAACAGAAGTACAGTACAGATCTAATCTGACCTCAGTAAAAGAGCTTTCAGGAGAGGAGAATTATATAATAAAAATAGATGACAGGCCTTTTTTTCTTTTTTTTTTTTTGCTTACATGTCAACTTCTGCCTGGAAACACAAATACAAAAGCAATTAAGTGATCACAGGAGATGTTCCAAAGAGCAAAGGGAGGGATAAAGTCAAGAGATACCCAACAGCAAACAAAACAAAGAATGAAAAGTTTGTAAGAAATGGCAATTTCTTATTTCTTATGTCAAGAACGTTAATTATTATTGCTAATTAAATGTTAATGGAAACGTAAATTACCTCAGGCGTGGCACAGTCTTCTGGTACTACACTCTGAGAAGCCTCACTTATAAAATAAGTCAGGCCAAGACTTCTTGTTAGAGCATAATGATAAAAATGGAGGCGTTAATAAATCTCCAAAACTCCCAGTGTGCTAAAGGGACACAAATGCTCCAGACTTCAAACTTAAAATCACGTAAATCCAACCAATTCCTTATTTACCATGTCAGCTCCTTCTTCTCTCTCCTTTAAGCTCTGAAGTTGTTGCTGTAGCTGTTCATTTTCCATGCACTTGGCTAGCAAGCACTGCTTAGCCTCCTTAAACTTTGACTCATAGAATTCACGTTCTTCTTTCTGCTTCTCTCTCCAGATGGAAAGTTCTTCATATCGGTCCTTCATGGTCTGGTTATGCAACTTCATGGCTTCTAAAGGACAGCCAGAGACAACACATTGACTCACATGAATACTCTGCCACTGAAACAGCAGATTTCCATGACACTGAGCTCAGCACTCTTCAGTACCAGTTCAGCAATAACTGGGCATGAAATTCGAACCTCCTTCTTGTGTACCTTGAGCACCAAACCAGAACTTTACTTATTATACTCCATTAGCACTATAATAAATAACATTAAAAACACTGCTGAAATTATATGCTCACACCCTCCTGCTCCTCAGCTTGTTCCTAAACCAAGTACAAGCAAGAAATATTGCTCACAAGAAGTACTTGATATCTTGCTGTACGTGCTATTTCCACAATCAACCTAAATGAAACTACTGAACTGAGATTCTGAAGCTATTGAGACTTGGCAGGGAAAACAGAATCCTAAACTGGTAAATTACTGCATGAAAATGGATTCTATCAAATCAAATGTCCCAAATCTGTCCAACAACACTGTACTTGAACATTTGGTTAAGAATTGATAGAGTGTATTGAAAAAAATATACCCAAAAACTTACACTGAATTCAGCTCCCCCTGGCTGGGAAGTCATGTGTGCATGACAAAGTTAGTATGGAACAATGTCAGTCTTATTATTGCAAAATGCTTACAAGACTTTTAGGAAAAGTCAATGAAATTATTTCAGATTTGATTTTTGATGCCATATACTCAAAGCCAGTTGCACGAAAATATTTTATGCACTATATTTTCTAGTAACTTGCTTTATGTCCTGATGTCATATTATAAACTGCCAACAAATCCTTCAGGTCATGTAAATAAATGTAGCTCTGGAGGATGATTCTGCAAGGTATGAGTTACAGCAGCTGTAAATATTGTCCCGAAATATTATCTTATATGATATAGGACCTTTTAACAAAATACCAGAGGCACTTCTAGAAACAACTTTCCTGCCAGATACCCCTGAGACTCCAAGGCAAAGAGCTTGGACCAGCTCCAAAAATTATTCAGACAGAACTTAAATGCTAGTGAAAAATCACAGCACACAAGATACATGACTTGGTGTTTTTCTGCCATATAAACATTGAGGTACCTCTGTCTTTTACACAGGAAATTCACAGATCCCTTTGGTTTTGCTCTATCCATTTAAAGGAAAAAAAACAATCCTGACACCTAAACTCCTGGGATCCAGAAACAAATCTATCTCACCTGAGAACACTCAAAGCATTAAGCATTTTCAGGGAAATCTATCACTTTCTTCCAGATAGACCCTGCCATGGCTGCCATTTCCTTTGGAAGTACAGAAGGTGCTGCCACATCTAAACATTCATAGTTGCTACCACCCAAGTGCAGGACAGCCTGTTCTGACTCCCCTCTCTGCCCGAGAGGATGCAGCTCCTTTCAGGCAGTGTCCTAACCCAGACTGTTCTGGGCACTGTGCAGCACCCACCCCTCATGATGCAGCTATGGCAAAATGTCAGTCTGTCCGTAAGGGAACATCCCAACAGTCCTAAAATACAAACCAAAAGAGGTTTTAGACATTCATGAAGAAAGAGCACATCGCAGCAAAGGACTTTTCAATTTGCCTCTTAAAATAAGACAGCACTATATTGCCTATATGTATAATTCTAAAGCAGACATCCATACAGTGGGCTGTTCTCCCCCTAATCTTCCATACTGATTCAATTTGATGTGTAGTGGCCTTGCCTCTGGCAAAGTTGTTTCTACAGTGAACACTACCCAGGTATAACATGTTGCCAGCAAGGGCAAACGACCACAGAATTCATACTCATAGGAGAAAAAGCCCACAGAGACCGGGGGCTCTTGCGTTTCAAGGTCAGTTCAAACGCACAGTCACCTTTTAACTCATTGTTCTCAGTGATTAGTTCTTTCATCTGCTGCACCATCTCTTCTGGCGTGTAGGTACTGAGGGCAGGGGTAGCCGTGCTGTCTGTTCCATTTTCCATTTTACTCCTGGGATGCTCTCCATTTTCAGCAGGCCGGCTCTTCAACTTGCTGGACATCTCTCAAGCCTCTACTACAAGGTTTGCAAAGAGAAAACTCTCGATTTCTTGCCTAATAAATGTTTATAAAGAAAACACCCGTACCTTCAGTTTATTAAGACAACCAAGCTACAGGCCTTACTGTAACACACAGGTACCTTCCAATCCCTCTGACCCGCAAAAGCAGAGTATCCCTAAGTCTCCATATCCCATTAACCCCTCGCAGGGGGTGAATAAAGCAACTGATCCCCGAGAGGTCTCCCTGGCTAACCAGCCCTTCGTCGGGAGCCGCGTCCTCCGGCAATGAGACGGAGAGAAGCCCCGT